GTCTTCACTTGGCTTCTGTTTGGTTGCTGCAGTTTCCTGTTCTGGTTTGCCAGCCCAGTAGAGACTGACCTCTCAGGCCTTTAGCTTCCCCTTGTCTATAGAACAGAATTTGTGGGGTGGTTGAGAATGTATGTGACAGCAATCTTTAGATGGCAGACTTGTCACCTGCTTTTAGCATTAAGATGGGTTTAAGTCCAGGCTCTGCCATTAGCTGTCTGAACAAGGACAATCACTGGGACTCAGTGTTCTCGCAGCAGCACCCCTCCCTCCACTCTCAACTTGCTTCATGTTCAGCTTTTTCAAATGACTCGCCCACCTGTAGCAGGGGCGTCCAAAGAATCCAGGCTCACCACCATCACCCATGTAGTCTTTTCAAAGCCAAAAGCTGATCATGAGTCTCCTGTGTAAAACCCTCTGCTGGATCTCTGTTCCTCCAACTTGAGCTCCCAACTCTTGACCTTTGATTCTAATACCCTTCACAGTGGGTAGGTCTCACGTTTTGGTGACTGGCTCCCACCTAGTGCCCAGGCTCACCCTGTCACTCTCCCTGATGCTGTGCTCCAGCCATACTGGTTCTAATATTCTATGAAGCCACCATACTCTTTTGCATCTTCTTTTCACTTGCCACCCTTCAGTCTAGAATATGTTTTCTTATTCCCGAAACCCTACTTCGAGATGCAGCTCAAATGACTCTTCTTTTGTGATACCTTTGCTGATGCCACTCCTCCCTCCCCGCGTGAGAATTTAAACACATGTCTCTTTTTATTGAATTATATTCCTATTTTGATTGCATTTCCTAAGGCCAGGATGGGTCTTAGGCTCCTTTACCTGTGGAGGACTTTGTTGCCTCCAGGGAAACCAAGAGTGAGTGAGATGGGGTACGGGGGGCACCACATGCAGGTGTGAAGCCAGCAGGCCAAAGGACTAGGGGGTGGGGGAGCCCAAGAAGAGCATGTGTGGGCACAGAAGACCAGCTGCCCTTGCTCTGGGCGTGCTGGGGAGCAGGAAGTCTCACCTGCCTGTGGGAAGTACAGCCTGACACCACACTGGCAGGCCCCCATTCAAGATTTCTCCTGACTTGGGCTCCCTTCAGTTCTATTCTCATCAGCAAGGTCAGCCTCTTGCTAGGCTCCTGCCTTCACTGCCCAGTAGTCACTCACAGCAAAGGCTGCCAAAGTAGAAATGTTTCTGGAGCTGGCTGAAGAACTTGTTGCCCTGCCAGCCTGCCAGCCACTTCACAGCACTGACATGGACCTTGGGATCCAAGGGCCTCACCGTGGGGAGCACACTGCTCAGAAACACTGAAGATATCCAGTGCTCCCTCTTGTGGGTGATATGTGGGTTGAAATGTATACAGTAGTCCCCCCTTATTCATGATTTCTTACCCTTGTTCAATGGTGGTCCGGAAACATTACATAAAGATATCTTGAGAGACAGAAACCACATTCATGTAACTTTTATTACAGTACAGTATATCGTTATAATTGTTCTATTTGTAGTAATTGCTGATAATCTCTTAATGTGCCTAATTTGTAAATTAAACTTTATCATAAATATGTATGTATAAGAAAAAACATAGTGTATATGGGGCTCAATACTACCTGAGGTTTCACGTATCCACTGGGGGGGGGTCTTGGAACATATCCCCTGCAGGTAAGGGGGGAGTACTATACATTAATTTGTCTTCTAAGAGCAAGTATAATATCTTATTTGAGGTGGGGGCAGACATGTTGACTCTGGCCAATAAGCCCATAGCCACTTATTGATACAATTTTACACACTGTCCTAGAACATCTGAGAGAGGGTGCCCTTCACCAGTGTTAGGTCCATCTTTACTCAATGAAAAGACCTTAGGCAATTTATTTTGAAACCCTCATGGCTTCATATATCAAAAAGGGGCCCTCCGAACTCTCATCATCACGTTATCTTAGAGTGTTTTTTCCAGGTTCAATAGCATGTTCTTTTCTGGTTTCTCAAAGTATTGAGCAGGCAAAGGCAGGGACAGAAGAGAATACAAATACAGGTTCTACTCCCACTCCTGTGCTGTGCCTCTAGCCCAGGGAAGACCCAATTCAGACAGAGGCTAGAGGATTGGAAGGAAACAAGACGTGGGGGTAGAGGCTTTGCTGAGATGGTGACGGAGGCCTGTGCACACAGAGGAAGGTGGTGGGTGGGGACACTTCCTGTTCCACGGCATGTCCCCCTTCAATAAACCAAGAAACAGAGGGTACAGGAGTGTTGGGGAAAGCCAAAGGACAGAAAGAGTGGGAACCACTGGAGGCTGGGTTAGGTCCTCTGTACGTAACTGTAACACAGATGTCTGGAAGTGGTATGAGGGGAGTCCTTAGGCTCCAGCCAGGAGGTGGGGGAGACAGGCAGAGGTAGGGGAGGAAAAAAGTCACCCAGCTCCACCTTGAGGGGCCAGAGGAGCCGCTGGAATGCACAGATCTGTAAGCCATTACCATATTCATGAGTCATACCTGTGGTGCCAGGAACTCAGGCCAGCCAGAACTGCACCTGGGAAGGGACACCAGTTAGAGCTGAGGCACGGATCACAAAGACCCTGGCTCAGCCCAATTATCTGTAGGATTTTAAATCTGGAAGCTTGGAGGAACTGACATATCTTGCATACCCACCTCTTGCCTACCCTCCTTCAGCCAGATGGCACCTTCTAGGCAGAGCCCACATTCTTGTGTGCCAACAGGCCTTTGCCCATGTAGGTCCTCCACCTCAGAGAACCTTTCCCAGCTGCTCCACATAGCTCATTGTGTTCTGCCTTTGGACTCAGCTCAGGTCTCCTCTCCCTCGGCTATTCCCCAAAGCCCCACGCTGCGTTTCTTGCCCCGTGTTCTCATAGTACCCTGTGCTACCTTGTCTCCTCTGCTTACCTCACTACTGACAGTTGTGTTCTCCTGCTTGAATCTCTCACTGAAACACAAGCTCATCAAGGGATGGAACTGACTCATGACTCCCTTTTGTACACGCAGCACCTAGGAGTGCCTGGACCATAAGAAGGGCTCAACTAAGGCTGCTGAGTGAAGAGTTGAAGTGGAGGGGCTGGGCTCAGCCTACCTACAGGTCTACCCTCTCAAGAATATAGGATCTCTTTCCTGCACCTGACATCCCTTGAAGTATGTGAAGATGGTTATGAAGTTCTGCCCCTAAGGGTGTTCCAAGCATAGGGCAAACAATCCAGTTCCTTCCAGTTTCCTCAAATGCCCGACGTTTGCTCTCCATCTTCTCTCCACCAGGCTCCCTCCTCTGATGGCTCCTGAATTTGTCTTGATCTCACTACAAGTGTGGCAACCAAAGTGCGGCACATGCTTCACTCATTTCTATCCCAAAATTATAAAACTGGGCAATGGCTAACAATGTAACAGAAATCAGTAGCTGAGCCAGAAATGGGATCCAGGTTTTCCAATCCCAAATCAGTCATAGAACACCTTACTAAGGTTATTTAGTACTAGATTAGTAACCTGAACCCAGTTAACTTCCCACCTGTACACTCAATCCCATGCTTTTCTGACTTCCAACTCCATTGCTAACTCCCAAGCAGCACTCACCAAGCGTGAGGCAAAGATGCAGGTACACAGGAAGTCCGCAGCTGGTCTGCTAGGGAACAGGCCTTCAGCTGGTGGTATGGGGGGGTTGGGTTGTAAATTAGGAAAAAGTGTCCCCTCAGGGCCGACCAAATATTTATTAAGAACCTGCCTGTCTGGAGCTTATATTCTACTGGGAAAGTGGGACAAAGTAAAGACACATTACAAGGCACATTAAAAGGTGATCAATGCTACAGAAAAGGAAATAGAACAGGGTAAGAAGCATGGAATAGAACAGGGTAAGGAGCATGGAATAGAACAGGGTAAGGAGCATGGAACAGAACAGGGTAAGGAGCATGGGTAAGGAAACAGAACAGGGTAAGGAACAGGGTAAAGTGGGGGAAGATTACAATTTTAACTCAGGTGGTCACAGTAGGCCTAATTGAAGGAGACACTGGATCAAGACCTGTCGTAGGTGAGGAAGCTGGGGAAAGAGCATTCCATACATAGGGACAACACAGACACAAGGTGTCTTAGTTCTTAAATTGTAAAAACTACACTGGAGGATGCAGCGATAGCTTATAAGAATTAAAAACAACACAAAACAGAGTAAGAACTGCTGGCTATTTTGCCTAAGCCCATGTGCATATATATATATATATTAATCTCAGGGCAGCAGGGTGAAAGGGCATAATGCTGACTTCCTAAGATTTCAAAGTCTACTGTTCAAAGCAGAGGATGTAGAACTTCACCTGAGGGCTCCTGTAGAGATGACAGGAATCATAAATACCAGGCCCTCTTTGCCATTTTCTTCTTCCTGAGGAGAGGTTTTCACGAAACTAATACTCTGGTCACAATCTCTGTAACTAGCTGAAGCACTTGTGATACATACAGAAAGCCAGAAAAGAGTGGACCAGTAATAATGAATGAAATCTAATGACTAAACATACAAATTATACATTTCAATGATACACTGCTATATATAGAATGTATTTATAAGTTAAAAGTGAGCCCCAGCACTCAAATCCACAGAAGGAGAAAACATTTATCAAATTCACAAGTTGCTCTTCTATTTAAATATCTACTTCCAGGGTCAGTTATTCATTGCATCTATGTACTCATATCACAACTCTCCCCCTTTGAAATGAATCCACTGTGACTGGGATCTGTTGCTTGCTTCTCTTTTCTGGGAGTAGAGAGCTACCTTTTGCTATTAACAATGTAAGGCAAAAAAATTATCAATGAATTTGTCTTTTGGAGAAGATGGTATATCAAGTCCTTAATTTCCTCTCCCTCCTTTCTTCCTCCATCCCCTAAAGGATGTGCATATAGTAGGTACATCTTTCTGCTGTTCTTCACAGGGTTTCATTACCTTTTCTGATGTTCAAATGTGGATCAAGTCTGGTTATCAAACAGAAAAACAAACTGCCAATAGGATAAGTAAGGAGCCACTCACATAGGTATGCACTAATAAAAATTTAATACATAAAACAAATCAGAAAACAGCATTTTTTTTTTAACCATTCACAATTAAAGTGGAAAGAGACAAAATTATAAGGCAGCCACCCATGGAATGATTTCGTGTTCACAAAGGATCCAGAAAAAGGGACATTTAAAATCACTGTTCAGGCTACTGAACCAGGGGAACTGCAGTGCTATACCATGAGAGTCCCAACTTGCTGGAAGATGCTACCAGAAAAAAGATCAAAGCCAATATATGTGTTACTGAACACATCTAGAGAATTCCTAAATGGTTGTTTAGTCCTTTCCAACAAGTCACAAATTTCCTTCAGTTTTCTTCAGGTGAATCTAGATGTATCAGGTACAAAGAGGTTACATCATTGGTTTTAATTTCATAGCATCTCCAATAGTGCTCTTTGGGCGATGTGAGCCATTTTGTATTGAGCAGAAATTTTCTAATGCAAGAAAGGATCCCCGTAGAACAATTACAGAGGGTTCTCACCTTGGACTGCAGCAGTTTTGGATGAATCTGGTCATTATTCTCAGTCTCCCAAGGGGCTCAGGGGCTCAAAAGGCAGGAACATTCTTTGGGGGCTTACGCTGCTGTTGACATACAGTTCCCGTGTTCAGTACCTAGCTACCATGTGTTTCAGGGGCTTATACTCCAATGCTGGTATGTCCTCCTAGTTCTAATCCTTGAAAAAGAGAAAAACCAGGCAGTGACACTTAGAAGTAGGCTGGTAAGAAAACACAATTACAGTTTCTCCTTTCTACAAAGAAGTGACAATTCAAAACAGCCACTCCCCCCCCCTTTTTTTGGCAGCTGGTCATTTGGGGATTCGAACTCTTGACCTTGGTATTATCAGCGCCATGCTCTAACCAACTGAGTTAACCAGCCAGCCCCTCTTCTTTTCTAGTGACTCAAAATACCAGAATGGGGATTCTGGTATTTTGCTGTTTTGAATTGGGAAATAAAAAGGTGAAACGGCAGGAAAGAGAACACAGAGCCTCTGTAGGTAGTACTGTTTCCAACTCTCTACATTCCAGTGCAGAGCCTTTGCCTGAAAAAAGAAATTTGGCAACAGCGTGCACAGGAAAACCGAATCAAACCTGGAATATCACTGCTTTGGCAAAATGGGAACTGATAGCAATTAACTGGGGAAAAAGTGAGGAGAATGGATCAGTAGCATTTTTCAACTTTATTTGCCATTTAAGAGAGTACTTGGAATCTGAAGAAATTCTATCCCTAGAAAGGAAAGGGATTCAAACTGCAATTAAGATTAACTTTGGTTATGAGGAAATGGATTGACCATGCTGTTAACCATCACTTGCATCTCTTTGGTAGCCAATCATTCTATTTGTAATCATGGCAGCAACTTAAGTACTGCCAATGTTTTCAAATGTGTTAGAGCATTAAGGCATCCACATCTAAGGAGGCAGTTTTAAACAAGAGGAAAACAACTGAAATGTGCCAAAAAGTGAACTTCGATCTGGCCTCGCATCCTGGGACACCGCCCACCATATGAGCAAGCTCTTCCTCCAGTGAAGGAGGCCTCTGCCACGCTGCTTGGTTTCCTGCTGCCTGAAGATGCATTTGAGCCCTATAAAATTAGTATGGCTATTTCTGCCTGCTGACCAGGAGAGAAACGAGTAATTCCTGAGGCAGCAGCTTTAAAATCTGGGAAAGTTCATAGCTTCTTGAGAGCTGACAGGATCTTGAAAGGTTTGCTTGTTAATAGTGAGGTCCAGACACAAAGGCAAATTTGGAAGTTAGATGGTTCAGTCCTTGCCAGAGTTCAAGACCCTATCCAGCAAGATATTCTAGCTAAACTTACAAGTGTGATGGCAAGGCACTGCTGAAAGAGGCTTTGGCCAGCAGAACAAATCTCTGACCATTGCACACGACGATATGATAGGAAGTACTATCGAAACCAAACCAGACACTAAAATCTGCTACTTATTTGACAAAGTCAGTTTCCAGAGAGAATCAAGGCAACCATATAATTTTGAAGGACCAGATGAAACCCCAAGTTGCTTATAAGTCAGCTATTATCATCTAATCAGGAAAGTCACTTAGACTTTCCATACTATACCTTTTCTTGGTTTTAAAATTGTATGCAGTGGTTGTCAGCCACCATACAAAATGTTATCTATCCTATTTATGCTACTTTCTTCACTGCAGCCAGCAGAGGGCTCACACATTTTACTTCCACAGCTGCTGACACAGTGACAAATCTAGGAAGGAAATAAAGAAATCACAGGCATGCTGGCTTACGCATACATAACACGTTTTTATAAACTACTAAAGTCACTGCCCTGAAGAAACTAGTCTTGGTTCTCTCTTAACGTAATGTGTTCTGAAATGGTACAGAAAATCAAAAATAAATTAATAATACAATATTATACACTTATTTGACAAAAGAGGGTTTACATGGGTTTTGGCAAATATGGGTAAATTACCCTAGTTTGCTAAACACTTTTGCTGTCTCAATTGTTTAAATTACCAGAATATTAGTGATTGTGTTGACTCACACATGAGGAGGTGATATTTTAAGGGATTAACAAAGCTGTATTTGACAAAAAGGTAACTTCTTTGAAGGGAATAAAGAATAGAGACAATGTTATCTTCATTATCACAGTTCAAGAAGTGGTTGTCCCGAGGAGAATTCATTTCACACAAATATTAGCATTGCCAGTAGCAGTAAGCAGCAAATTGTGGGGAGGAGGGACTAGAGGGGAAAGTTAGAAGAAAAGCATGGAAAAGAGGAGACTAAAGACATGATTTCAATAAGCTTTAAATCAATAGGTACTTATGTGAGCAGACACAGGGCTCCACAAGCTGACCAAATATTTTAGCCAGAAGGACTGCCTATCTGCTAAGAGAAATCCTTTAAAAAAAAAGGACAACATAGATTTTGGTAGTCTTACTTTTAAAGAAGTTACTACAAAGATGTCAATAACTATCCAAATTCACTTAAAATTTAATATCCCTTCATTTCCAAAGATACTTTGTGATGTAACTGTTCTTGAAGGAAAGGCTACACCTGAACCTACTAGAACTTGGCTCCTCTAAGAATGTGCTGGAAATAGGTATTCTGCAAAGCAGAATTTGAAAAGAAATGCTTCAAAATACTAGTCACCTCTTGAGAAGCTAGTCCCACCTCTGTTGCTCCATTTATGGAATGGCAGGTTGTATTTAGAGAGGCACGTGCAAAAGGAGGTGGTTAAGTCTCTCTAGACATCCCTTTTCAATGGATTATCTCTTTCGAGTATAAAGTTAGCTTTCAGTGTGTCTTTATGTCATTTCCCTAACTCTAATCCCAAACTAACCACAATCACCTTTAGCATCTAAGAGAGTGGGTGCTGTGACCTATCAAGGCATGTGGCATAGATACTAAAGCCAAATGAACCATGTTAAAATCAATGGATAAAGTGGCACAGCCTCTAAACAAAGAGATTTACCTTAATTACAGAACACTGTATTTTTATAATTACTATTTCATTGTGAGTATGAAGTTCTCCACTCTTCCTTAAAACTAAATTTCATCTTCCCTGAGAATAGGGTAAAGAGAAACATCAAAACTCAAAATGCCAAGGGCCCTTTTAAAGACAACACAACGGAATGTTTATACCTAATTGCAATGTGTTGTTTCTACTCTAAAAGCTTTTCAATTACTCCAGGTTTTAATCTCACCTCCCTCCGGACTCTAGGAATACAGGTGGAGATGGGCAAGGCGAGACAAGAGACTGAGAAGTGAGGAGCTGTCATGTGCCGGCTGTTCTCACTGGCTGCGAATGGCCATGGACTGAGGCTGGAACCTGAACATTTAATGCTGGTGTCCTACTGACAGGATGAGTGGGATGAGGCACCCCAGAACCAGGGCTGCCACCTCCAGGCGGCTGAGGCCTCTCCCTCCAGTGGTGTCGGGTTTGTGGCTGTGCCCCATTCCGCCCACCTCGGGGAGGACATGTACTGTGGCAACATAAAGAAATGTCCCAGCAGAGAAAAGCATAGCCACTCCAGTGGCATTGACCTCTGAAAGGGCTTCTTTACTGCTCTGTGAATTAAAAGAGAGAAAAAAGAAAAATTAAGTCAAGTAAAATTCAGGGTCAGGAAGAAGTCTCAATTAAAAAACATGCAATATCGGGCTGGCCCGTGGCTCACTCGGGAGAGTGTGGTGCTAATAACACCAAGGCCCCGGGTTCGGATCCCATATAGGGATGGCCGGTTGGCTCACTGGCTGAGCGTGGTGCTGACAACACCAAGTCAAGGGTTAAGATCCCCTTACCGGTCATCTTTTAAAAAAAAAAAAAAAAACATGCAATATTCACAACTGGTGCTATCTAGGACACTGGGGACATCTTTACACCAGAGCAATTTTACGTTATTTATGGGAAGCTTCCAAATAAGGGTTTAAGAATATTAGTGATGTACACAATTGCTTTTTAATTGCTTTTAAAAAAAAATTACTGTAAAATGACAATTTGTAATCATATATATTGATGGGGTACAAAGTGATATTATGATTTATGAATATAATGTAATAATTACATCAAGCTAATTAACAAAACTATCACCTCAAATACTTATAATTTTTTGTGGTGAGAACATCTGAAATTTACTCTTAGCAATTTTGAAATGTACAACACACTATTATTAACTATACAAGGAGTCTTCAAAAAGTTCATGGAAAGGGCCGGCCCGGTGGCGCACTGCTACAGTGCACCGCTTGGGAGCTCGGCGGAGCTCCCGCCGAGGGTTCGGATCCCACATACAGACTGGTTCCCGCTCATTGGCTGAGCGAGGGGCGGGCGCAGCGCCGAGGGTTGCGATCCCGTTGCCGGTCCTGGTCTGGTACGGGCGCGACACTGAGAGTTGCGGTCCGTTGCCGGACACAAAAAAAGACAAAATAAAATAAAATAAAATAAAATAAATAAAAGAGAAATGCAAATTTGAAAAAAAAAAAAGATAATGCAAATCTTTCCATGAACTTTTTTTTTTTTCCTTTTTGTCTTTTTTCGTGTCCGGCAACGGACCGCAACCCTCAGTGTCGCGCCCGCACCGGACCGGGACCGGCAACAGGATCGCAACCCTCGGCGCTGCGCCCGCCCCTCGCTCAGCCAGTGAGCGGGAACCGGTCTGTATGTGGGATCCGAACCCTCGGCGGGAGCGCCGCCGCGCTTCGCAAGCGGCGCACTGTAGCAGTGCGCCACCGGGCCGGCCCCTGCATTTCTCTTTTATAACATAAATTATTAACAAGGTCCTGAACTAGGAATCAAAAATTAAATAAAAATCTCAGAATTTCAGACTATGAAACAAGCTAAATCACACACAGTTCTTGATTAAGAAACTAATACTGGAATATTACCCAAATAATAAAGTAAGCACATAGTCAATTAGCACATTCCCTATCTCAGAAAAAAGGCATTAAGCATTCATTTCATAAGTTTATTTACAAACACATCTAGTATGCTATGAATTCAAGAGTTTGATCCATTTTTCAAAGAGAATACACCCCTTAAAACACTCTTCATATCTGTTAAATGGATCAACTAAAACATCCTTATTTCTTAAGCAGTTGGTGTCTTATTATAAAGAAAAGTGTAGCAAATCCAGATCCAAAGTACAAAGTCATCGTGATTAGTAACTGCCACTTGTTTTCCACTGAAAATGGCAAATTCTTCCCTGGGCCCTCCTCCTGGAGGCTCCTACAGACCAGAGGTTGTGAACCTCCGAATGCTCTGTCCCAGCATGGTGCTGTGGGAAGCTCTGTGAAAGGTGCAGAGACCAAAGGCAGAAGGAAGGACAAAACCACACCAAGTCCTCCTTTCTTCACGACCTTGTTCCCTTGTGTGCGAGAACTGGAAAGCCATATTATCTTTCAATCCCGTTTTTCTGTGAACTTTTTGAGGTACCCTTGCATTCACCACAACTGTTTTTTAAAATGAACTTCAAGCACTGGTTGAACAGGTTTGGCCTGTGTTATTCATGAGATGGAATCAAAAACATATTAATGAAGATATTAAATTTCACACATTATATAAGAAGCATCCCCTGTGTACCAGGCTCTAGGCTAGGTGCTTGAGATGTGGTAATCACAATGCAGCAGCTGTCCTCACACAGCTGAGAATTATCTCAGAAGCTACTCTTTATACGAATAATTTCAACCTTTCTATTAAAAAAGCAGACCAATGGACTGAGACAATTCATTAAAATTGTAAGTAAAAAATATGTCATAGATGCAGCATGCAACCCCCCACACCTCCAGAATTACTAGTACCTTCCTGCCTAAAGTTCTTTTTTTTTTTTTTGAAAGATGGCCGGTAAGGGGATCTTAACCCTGACTTGGTGCTGTCAGCACCACACTCACCCAGTGAGCAACCGGCCATCCCTATATGGGATCTGAACCCATGGCCTTGGTGTTATCAGCACCACACTCTCCCGAGTGAGCCACGGGATGGCCCCTGCCTAAAGTTCTAAAAACATATTGATCAATGAAGTGATGGAGTATTACTTTAAAAGGAAGTACATATTGCTTGCTAACTGAAAGAAGATAAGGATTTTCAGATGAATGGAAAGGGTTTTTACAACAATGCATTTGTTAGTAATCCAGATCAACAAATCCTTGATTAACAGGAACTAAACCATTCTCTAACTATCTCATTTTTCATATATTCCTTTAAACACAGGTTTTACTACATCATATACTGAATTGACCAACACTCAGAAGTATCAACGACCTTCAGAGAAGGCATGAGGAAAAGCAGTTCCCGTGAACTAACCCTGAGTCAGTTTGGTTCTAAGATTTTCCTTCTGTTACCTGCCAGTTGACATTAGGTAAAATGGGCAGGGTTGTTGCAAAGAACTGCAGCCCAGATAGACAAATTTGTAACGCATGGAAAGGTCCAGCTTGGCAACAGAAGAGTGCCCAGGCTCTGAGCTGACAAGTGACACATCACTTCAGATCTGAAGCTATATTCAGTACAATGATAAAGAACAGGACATTTCATATTCCATGATATGAGAACGGGGAGTAGAAAAATCTGAGTCTTAGCTGAATACAGTAATCTCTGCTCATCCCCCACTCTTCTAAAAGCTTCATGCTTCATGTGTCTACCTCAACATTAAATAGAGATGGCTGTGACCTAGTATGTACTTGTCAAAATTAGCATGGCTGGTTACATTTAAGTTATATTATTTTAAATAGTGAAGTACTATCATATATCATATGCAAATATTCTTCGAACTGATAGGGAAGAAGTTTTCAAATTAAATAAGTAAGGAAATGCTAAATTTATAAAGCATTTTAATGGAATTTAAACTCGGAATTAAGACATTTAACTTTTTGCCGATTTTTACTCCTAATTTATGTTTAGTTTGAGAGGGTAATTTTGTTGAAAAATTTAACATAAGAGACTGTAAGTTCTATCAGGTCACAAAAGAACTAGACACTTGTTGAGATAAGCTAGGCATGGATGAGACTTACCTTACTTAGTCCTAAGTATGTCACCATGGACATGACTGGTGCTGCCAATGCAAAGACCAGCAAGTGCTTTCTGATTCGATTCCGCTCTAGGCCAGCATGCATTAGGAAGGAAACCAGCCCAAAAGCAGCTGGTGCCTGGAAATGAAAAATTATTCCTTGTTATCACTCTAGAAGTACGGATTGCTTCTATATCAACAAATACATGTCATTTGACTGTAAATTCTTATTAAAAAAAACCAGGCATAGTACCTGGTTAGGTACTATGAATCAATGTTCTAAGCTAAGAAAAGATTCTATGTGTTTCTTGGATTGTAGGAAAGGGAAATATTCAAAAAGAAAAATACTTATGAACAAAAATTACTATGAAATATAGAAATCTGTAGAGAATTTAACAGTTTGTGTATATGACCACAAAAAAAAACTGCTCAAGTAAAAGTTTAAGAAAATGGTAGCAAAAATAGCTCTGCACAGATTTATTTAAATCTCCAAAATGAATAATTATGAAACTAATTAAAAAAATTTTCCCGGGCCGGCCCGGTGGCGCACTGAATAAGTGCGCCGCTTGGGAAGCGCGGCGGCGCTCCCGCCCAAGGGTTCGGATCCCACATACAGACCAGTTCCCGCTCACAGGCTGAGCGAGGCGCGGGAGCAACGCCGAGGGTTGCGATCCCGTTGCCGGTCCCCGGTCCGGTACGGGGGCAACACTGAGGGTTGCGATCCGTTGCCGGACACGGAAAAAGACAAAAGACAAAAAAAAAAAAAAAAAAAATTTTCCCAACCCAGAAAAACATTAAAAATCAAGAGAAATTTTAACTGTCAATATATTGAATGTAAAAAATTTTTTTTTTGTCTTTTTTCCTGTCCGGCAACAGATCGCAACCCTCAGTGTTGCCCCCGTACTGGACCGGGACCGGCAACGGGATTGCAACCCTTGGTGTTGCGCCTGCACCTCGCTCAGCCAGTGAGCGGGAACCGGTCTGTATGTGGGATCCGAACCCTCGGGCGGGAGCACCGCCGCACTTCCCAAGCGGCGCACTTATCCAGTGCGCCACCAGGCCGGCCCTGAATGTAAAATTTTATACCAAAATTTTGCTTACCTTATGTAGCATTATTGCCACAAACACAATTAACTGGACACTAGTCTGTGAAGTAGAAGCTGCTGCTCCCAAAGCAACGCCATCAGCTGAATTTGGAAAAAAATGAAGCATAAAATACTATAAATAAGAATAACAACAATAAGGTAAGTGTAGTGATGAGTTTGTAGGTTTTAGAGTCAGGCAGAGCTGGATTTGACTGGGAAGGTTACTTAACCTTTCTGAACTTTAGCATTCTCATCTTTAAATGGGTTCAATAAAGTATATATTTCTTAATATTTTCATGAGGATTAAATAAGATAACATATGTAAAGAACATAGCACCTGGCTCGGAGTATTCAATATGTTAGTTATTTTTATTGTTATTGGAAAAAGTATAATGCTCAAAAATCCATTGATTAGTTAATCAAGTTGTATAACAGAAATACCACAGAAGAATTTCAAAGGAAACATCTCTTTATCTTACAGATGAAGAAAGAAAATAAAGACACTAGAACTCAACATAGATGATTTATACATAATGGGTAAATATTTGTTGAATAGATGAATTTCGTTAGAAAAGCATGTTATACTACAAAAGGTCCAGATAATAGTGTGCAACCGTTCATGTGCTTTTGTGACTGACAGAATCCTACCTCTGGGACTAGGTTTGGGTTATGATTCTAGGGTGTGCCTGTCAGCAATGCTGAGACTCTTACATTCTACACATCACTTCTGCTTAAACTGGTACTTACACTGGGTAGCAGGAATGTCCAGTACACAAGTGCCAAGGCTCTCTTCCAGATGAGATTCTAGGGCAGGTCAGCAAACCTTTTCTTTTCTTTTCTTTTGGTGAGCTCTAACCAAGTAAGCTAACCAGCCAGCCCTGGCAAACCTTTTCTTAAAGGTCTAGACAATAAATATTTTAGGCTTTGCAGGTCATCTGGCCTTTTGCAACTATTCAACTCTGCCATTATAGCAGATAACACGTAAACACATGGGCATGTCTGTGTTCCAATAAAACTTTATTAATTTAAATCATGTAATTTTCATGTGCCATAAAATATTCTTCTTTTTTTTTTTTCCTTTTTGTCTTTTTTCGTGACTGGTAACGGGATCGCAACCCTCGGCATCGCGCCTGCACCGCGACTGGCAACGGGATTGCAACCCTTGGCATCGTGCCCACACTGCGCTCAACCAGCGAGCGGATCGGTCTCTACACGGGATTCGAACCCTCGGCGGGAGCGCCACCACGCTCCCAAGCACCGCCGCGCTCCCAAGCACCGCACTCTACTGAGTGCGCCACCGGGCCGGCCCAAAATATTCTTTTTTTAACCTTTAAAAAATATAGAAACTATCTGTAGCTTGTAAACCCCTTACAATGCGTACACCAGGGCTTGGGCTCATGTTAAAGGATTTCACTAAGCAACGGTTTCCCTGAAGGCCAGCCCAAGAAACTTTAATGTGGATAGTTCCTGTAATGCGAATACTAAGTCTTCCCTCATGTGACAGAAAAGAAAGGTTCCACTGCAATCCAACGTTACCTGCAGCATGGACGACCAGACCCAGTGTGGTGGTGATTTTGGAATTGCTGGGCCTTGTTGTTTCTGGATCTGAAGTGAAAATGAGAAAGACAGCATTAACAAGGAGAGACAAAACTTTTCAAACACAGGTCTGGAGGTGGAAAAAAAAATTTTTTTTAATTTAATTTAATTTTATTTTATTTTGAAAAAAATTTTTGAAAGCTCTTTAAATAGTAGATTATTATTTTCCTCACTGCTGTCTTTTTTCTTTCTGCTTTAAACACTTAGCAGTTTCCCCTGTCCTCAAAAGGTGGGTGGGAGGGAACCCTTCAGTTGACCCAGCCTTCCCTTAGACAAATTCCTGAAATGTGTAACCCCCAACTGCCTCAACTTCCTCATACAGCTTAAATCCTCTACCACTCCATGTAAAGTGCTCTATGACTTCTGATCACCTTTTTCCAGACCAGTCTAATAGTCACTGTTTACCTCTTCCTCATCCCCAGCCTCCTGCAATTTTATCTTCATTCTAACATCTGTCACATCTACCTTTTTGCATTTTATTGCTACCACCCTAACCTATCTTTTCATCAATTCAAGCCTAAATTAGCGATAGGCTCCCGCTGGTTTTCCCTTATTATCATTTTTCCCTAATGAAATTCATCCATGTCAGATTCATCTTTTGAAAACATCACCCTTCTGATGTGTCAGTAAAATAGTTAAGAATTTGCTGCTTCTCAAAGTCAGTTTGAACTGTTCTATTATATAGATTCTTAAGCCCTTTATCAGCTGGTTCCACTTTATTTCTCACTATCCAGTCCAGTTAAAATAATTTCCTTAACACCCTCTAACAAAACATTCTCCTTTTCCTCTCCCCAAATCTCCTCACCCCTAATTCTTGGCACACACTGAAGTCCTCAGCTCATCAACCCAAAATTTAAGACACTGTTCTAAGTCTAATTCTAGAACCACCTCCCTCAAGAAAGAATCAAAGATTAATTGCAGCTCACAGCAACTTTCCCCTTGAGTAGACCTAACACTCAATGTACGCAGTCTCCACATCAATGTACGCAGTCTCCACATACTACTTCAAAGGTTTTTCTATATACCACCTCAGACACAGAAAACTGTTTTCACTTCAATAGGCCTTCTATCCCCAGATTGACTGCAAACAATAAAGAATTCAATTTTCTACTTCTTTCTCTTTCTTTTAATAAACATGTCTTATAGAATGTGGCATAGCACTGGGCACCCAATCATTGCTTAATAAATCCTTGTTGGAGGGTGAAAAAATTTATTTGTATCACATGATATGTTACTGATATTATAGCAAACGTAAGGCAAATAAATACTGTCCAATATAAAGTTAAAAGACATGAAAATGCCAGGTGAAATGACAGATGGATATTAATCAAATAAATTCCAGGGCATTTAATCTTCTTAAGCAGCCTAGCACACAGAAGGAAGGGTTCACTATGGAAAAAGCATATGAGTAAAGTAACATTACTTTTTACTAATAAATTTTATCTTCCTATTAAAACACTGTCTAATCACTCTGAGACAACAAATATTTCAATATCACCCCAAATTGGGAAGAACTGTCATATTACACTGTGTGACAAACTTATTTTGGCCTTTCTTTATACATAGCCTTGTGGTGTGGTTATAAGTAACACCGTAAATAAAAATTAGAGGCTTTAAAATTAAAACAGTTTTCATGAATCTACAGGATAAGACTACACTTCAGCATAAATTTAATAAACTTTTACTGATACTTAACATGAGGACACTTCAAAAAGTTCATGTAAAAATGGAATTAAAAGATAACATAAATGTTTCCATGAAATTTTTTTTTTAAAAGATAACCAGTAAGGGGATCTTAACCCTTGACTTGGTGTTGTCAACACCACGCTTGTTGGGAGCCTGAAGCCCCACACCCCTTCTTGTGAGACCACTCCTACGTGACAATCTGCTCAGATGGCCGTGCTTTACATGATAACTGCCTCGAAATCTTTATGCCAGAAACTGATTGCTCCTGGCTATGCAAGTTAATTTGCAAGTGACCTTTTATCCTTCTCTAGAAACTGTTTAACCATAAACATTCTGGGTGGCAACCTTTACTTTGAATGTCCTGTCTTTGTCTCTCCTCAAGATATTATCATGCCTGCTTTCTCCTATATACTCTGCACTATTTTCCACCTGCCCTGTCCTCGCCCCTCCTCACGGGAAGCAGTGTGTCAACACCCTATTGGATAAGAGCTCCCCCACCTCTGGTACCTTATAAAAAACCCCTGCTTGCTGCAATAAACAGAGTTCCGGCTTTGACCACTCTCCTGGCTCGGTGGTGTTCTTTCTCGGCCCCCGGGGAGGAAGGTCCTGGGGGGGAAGGGCCGTGCCAGCGACACTCATCATCCCGCTCAGCCCCA